CCTTTTACACTTAGTTCATACGCATTTATTCCCATATATGTTTGTGAAGCTTCTACCACAATACAAACACCTTACATTGTGTACAAGTGAAGGCATATGAAAGGAGTAATTTTCTAGTTACCCCCAGTAACTAGCTGGCACTGGACAAGCACCTAAAGTCAGTTCCTGATCAGCCGGGCTGTGGCTCGTACGTTAGTTTGCGTGCAGCCAGCAGCAACAGCCTGGTTGATCAGGCGCTGATCCACCAGGAGGCCTGGTCACAGACCGGGCCGCGGGGGCGTTGACCCCCGAAACTCTCTCCAGGTAAACTCCAGGTAAGTAGTACTGTTGCGTACACATTTTCTCTCGTGTTGGACTACAAGCTGCCTGACTACCACATCTCATATTTTTCAGTTTTTTCTACTTTGGGCATATGTATTATAGTATTCATATGTTATGTAAAGTGTTTATGTAATTTTGAAAAAAAAAATAAAAAATGGATTAATGAAAATGTCTATACTAATGTAATAAATAACACTTAAAGTGCCCCATAGCAATTATCATTATTATTAATAATACGGCGTCTTCAAGACTAGCGAGACACTCTTGAATGTGTACCTGCACACGAGCACAGTGTGTAAATTTATTAAGGTATAGGTACACAAGTATAATTATCAGAGTATATACTGTATAAAATATGCAATAACTTTAAAACACTTGAAATTTTGGAAAGTTTCCAAACATAATGGAGAGACATGGAGGACATAAACAGTGGTTTGCAGAGACTGTGTTAGCAAGTCTAGTTGAGGAGGAGCCATATAACGAGTTTTGGTCATACGTACTTTGAAATGTCTGTATTAGTGAAACACCATAAAGCGGAGCCCCTGCTGTATTATTATTGCACTCAAAACTTAAGTGCTCAACCCACAAAGCTAAGAGCACAGGTAATGTGTCAAGATGCATTATAAGTTAGCTCTATTATGATGCACATGTGCAAATGGTTGGGTGCAGGACACTTGGCCTACTACAGAGCACTTATATTCGTATGAAAGTAGAACTGTAAATCTCAAATACCTGTATTAACGGGATTGGAAAGAGTTAGCAGGAATTGTAGAAGCCTGTATAAGAATGGTAAAGAATTTGTATCTTTTCTGAAATGTTAATTATTATCCTTATTTTTGTCTTCCTCTCCCTCCAGTAGCTCTATCCCTTTATCTTTAAAGAAAATTGCTACCACTTGGTCACAAAATGCTTATCAATTTATGTAACTGAGAGATTACAAAGGCATCTAATGTCTTTTTTCATTTAGGCACTGGAAAAATTCATTCAGATGCTGAAAACTGACTTGCAGCGTGAAAGAAGAGGGAAACAAGGTGTTGAAAACTTGGCAAAGGCTCTGCAAGAAACTCCTACTTTTGGAGGGGAAGAATCTCAGCAGGATGTGAATGATAAACTGCAACACGTAAGCTCTCTTTATTTATTGCTTTAAAACTTCTACCAGCACCTGAAAATTTTCTTAATTTAAAAATTTTCAAGTCACGACAAACATTCTACCAATGAAAGTACTGGGTTAACCCTGAAAGACCAATATTTGCTGCAAATAATAATTATGAATGTAAGTACAAGACCTGTTACTGTAAAGTTAATCTTTTAATAATCAAGTCACTAAAACTTAAATGATCATGACACTAGCTGTGAATAGTTTTCTACAAATCTATCATGTTTGTTAGGTGATTCTGTATATACCACATGTAAATATAATTAGTATTTGTTCTGTTGGCAAATCCTGTTCTACAAAAAAAAAAAAAAAATTCAAAAGCTCCTTTATACTTTCTGATCTCAACAGGATGCCTACAACAGACTGCAACATGTAAGTTTTCTGTTCTATAGGCCATGCTTTTCCACTAATTGAACAGTAGAATTTTAGATGCTGCTATGTGCATGATGTGAATGTACATTTTACTTTTTCTCTAGGATTTCCAATACATGTACAATTCTTTTTGTTATCTTTATGTAAAAATAGCCAGTTTTATTTATTCATTAATTTCTGTCTCTGCTTTACTTACAGTTCAGTTATATGCCTACTAAGCCCTCAGTAGTAGATGCGGTATGCTCTAGTTGAAATATTGTTCATGAGTGTTATATTTCTTCTGTTAGTGAATCTATTGTGTTGGGATCTAAATTTTAAGATCTCTTCTGCAGATGAAGGCAATGCTGGCCTACCTGGAGGCTGCACGATACAAGGTGCAGAGCTCACTAGATGAGCTCAGTAACCGACCCAAGATGACACACCCACTTGCTAAACACATTGAAGTTCATCGTGACAAACAAGGTCTTGCCTTCTCCATTTTGAAGGTTAGAAGCATATTTTCTTTGTTGTGGTACATAAAAAAGATTTAGGTACTCCTTTTCTTTTCATTGATATGTACTGCAGGGAATTTACTATGAAATGAAGTACATATATTGTATGAATTTTTTTTTTTATTAAAATAAATTTTCAATGGTTTTAACCTGAGGAACCCTAAAAGCCATCTATAGTTTCAGAAAGATCATATGGAGAAAAAAATATTACTACCTTAAATATATAGCATCCTTTCCATGATACCAGTTTATGTTCATATTCACTTAAGGTTTGTATATAACATTCAGCAGTATGCAGAACCATACTCCAAAATGATTTGTTTTCTTAATATGAAGCTTGGAATACAGGAAAAAATATGCAAGGTGTTCTTTTTTCAAAGTGAATAATTATTAAAAAAAGAAAAAAAAAATGGAAATGGTAGACTGAAGGTTGAATATAGAGAGAGGAAGAGGGAGGTCATACAGCTTACTCAAAATAAGCTGTATCACCCAAGTGGGTTTAGTGTTTAGTTATGATTGTAATAATAATTGCATAGAATATGCTGTTTTGGAGAGAAGCATGGAGAACAAATGGACTTAGAATTTAAGAACAGAAGGGGAGACAGATAGGGAGTTAGAGATACAGTATTGCAAGGATAGAGATATTTTGATGTGTTGTTGAATGTTAGTGATAAAGGGGAGACTGACTTCATGCATGGGGGTAGGGAGGAATAACAGCACAGGAGTGGAGGAACTACCCGGAAAGTGCGCAAGGCAGTGGGCAGACTGGAAGGAGGTAAAGAGGCTGGAATATAAGGGGTTAAAGCAGGAGTGTATATAGTGTTGGAGTGGTTGGTTTGTTTATTCAGTATATGCCTGAAAGAACGGAAGATACCAAAAGATCTACAGTATGTGTGCGCATAGTTCCTTTCTATAAAGAAAAAGGGGACAAGAGAAACCAAGAATTTTAGGGGGATAAGCCTTACAAGTATATCAGGTAAAGTTTATAGCTGAATTATTATTGAAAGGATTAGGTGGAGGACAAAGTAGGATTGCAGAAGAACGAGGATTTAGAAAGGTTAGGGAATGTATAGATAGTGTTTACATTGAAGCATATAAGTGAGCAGTACTTGGAATAGGGGGGTTCATTTAGTTCACTATCTTTATAATGCAATCCGTACTCATCCTGTTGATAGTAGTCAAAAGATTAGAGGCACATAATGGGTCCGGAGCTTGTTGCATTTATGGATTTAGAAAAGGCATAAGATAGAATGGATAAGGGAGTCGTGTAGCAGATGTGGCAAATATATGGAATTTGAGGTAAGGTATTAAAGCCAGTTAATTTTTATGCAGGGAATGAGGCACAGGTAAGGGTATGTAGGAGGAGGGAAAGCACTTTACCAGTGAAAGTAGGACTAAGGGATGTGTGATGTTGGCATGGTGGTTTAGCCTACTTATAGGTGGGGGTTGTGAATACTAGGGTATTGGAAAGGGGTATGGGACTGACAGATGATGGACGATACACAGTGAGAATTATCGTATCTGCTATTTGCTAATGACACACTGTTCTTTTAGGGGATTCAGAAGACAAGTTACAAAGGTTGGTGGATGAACCTTTTGAGGCTATGTAAAAGAAATTAAAAGTGAATGTAGAAGAGAGCAAGGTGATGAGGGGTAACAAAAAAAAAGTCTAGGCAATGATAAATTGAATATCAGATTGAAGGGAGGGAGTATGAAGAATGTGAAAGCATTTAGATATTTGGAAGTGGACATGTCAGTGAAAGGTCCTATGAAAGATGAAGTGGACCATAGAATAGATGAAGGGAAAAAAAGGTGAGTGGTGTGTTGAAGTATCTGTGTGAAAAAGGTTTATTGTTGGAGGTGAAAAAAGTAACGAATCAAAGTACAGTGGACCCCCGCATAACGATCACCTCCAAATGCGACCAATTATGTAAGTGCGTTTGTACGTGTATGTTTGGGGGTCTGAAATGGACTAATCTACTTCACAATATTCCTTATGGGAACAAATTCGGTCAGTACTGGCACCTGAACATACTTCTGGAGTGAAAAAATATCGTTAACCGGGGGTCCACTGTATACTGGTACAGTTTTCATGGATGTGAGGCATGGGTTTTAACTGCTACAGTGAGGAGGAAGCAAGAGGCAGTGGAGATGATTGAGGGTAATGTGTGGCTTGAATATATGCAGAGAAGATGAAGCATAGAAATTAAAAGGAGGGGTTGTTGAGGTGGTCTGGGCATGTAGAGAGGCTGGAGAGGAATAGGTTGATGAAAAGAGTGTATAAGTCTGGGGCTGAAGCAGGTGAGGTAGCAGTCATCCAAGAAACAGTTATTATTCTTCTAATCAAAACTAAGCATTAAACGGAAAGTTATGGGGATTGGGTAAAAACAGCTTGGACTTTTAGGGACTTCAGCATCCAGTAGGCTTGTGTGAGCATGTTAGGTAGGAGTGAATGGAGAAAATTGTTTTTTAATGAACATGCTGTTAGAGCTCGAGAGCAAGGTAGCATTAATGAAGGGAAACCAGTTAGCCAAGGCTGAGTCCTGGAGGTGGGAAGAGCAGTGCTGAAGGAAGGGTGGGGGACGTTGCAGTTGGAGGGTAATCTGATTTCGACGTCAGTACACTTCTGGAAAGATGGCGCTCGAATGAATGATGGTGAATGTGTTTTCTCCTTTGAGTCTCCCTGCCTTGACAGGACAGCTGTTAAGTGATCATATACAATATTTCTTCATTTGGTCTTAATAGAAATAAATAATTTAGTAGTCAAACTATCGCATATTTTTAGGTTCCACCATGGGTACGAGGTAACAGCGTGGATGTGTCTCCTGCCAGTGATTCTCCAACAGGCTCTCCCAACTGGAATGACAGAGGCACTGCTGATGGAACCTCAGTACAACCAGATTCAGACTTTGGTATGTTAACAGAATCCAACCAAAACCTCTAATTAGTGGTATACTTTAGTTATTAACTAGGATTACTAACTACAATGAGCAATATAGTAGGTCCCCTACTTGCAGTGTTCTAAGTTGTAATGTTCCAACGTGTAATGCTCCTCTTTCATGATGCTGGCACTTTGCAACCTCTTAATGACTTGCATGAACACACTCTTCAGATATGCAGAAATACTTATGACTGCAAGAGAAAAAAAAATGGTTCTGCAGCTGTACGTAAACATTGCTGCAACACACAGTTCACTCACACATTTTATGTTCTTTAGCATCTCTTCAAATATTACTCTAAACGGCTTATACGGAAATAAGAAAACAAATTTATGTATGGAAAAATCCAAGGAGAATACTTTGAACATAATCCTATGATTGCTTTTCAGTTCAGATGCCTTGTGCCAAGTTGAGAGAAAACAGACACTTGGCCAGATACTATATGACTGACTTATATTTTGGAGGATTTCACTTATATTGTTTAAATTATTTAAACAATGTTGTTTTTACTATTTGTAAATATTCTTAGTAAAAAATTTAAATTAAACTGGGTACAAAATAGTGTGGTGCCTATAGAAAAATAGGTTAATGTTTAACTAAAAATCTTAAATGGGGATCTACTGTATAGTTTGTATTATTATAATCAAAAAGAAGCGCTAAGCCACAAGGACTATACAGCAGATGTATAGTATGTAGCAGCGCTCTATAGCCCTTGTGGCTTAGCGCTTCTTTTTGATTATAATAATAATAATGTATAGTTTGTATTATTCTAAATCATATTACTGTTTGAATAGTTCATTTCCTAACTTCATGTAAAACAAAAAAAAAAAAAAAATCAATACGTGCACTTCTGTATAATTTAACTTGGTATGATTATCCTATAATATCCTAACAAGAAACATTAATGCATCTTTTATCCCTCCCCTACCTCGTGCTTTTGTACGCTAACTTTCTGTCATAACTAATGTCCAATTAATTATTCATCCTCTTCCTGCAATATCCTTAAAATCTTCAATACAATTGATTCCAATGTGTTCATGACTTCCTGTATCCACAAACTCTCATACAAGATCACAAAGTGCTGACATCACCAGACACCACAAACAATCCTTCACAATCTGTTATCCAAGAAACCACTCCACAAATTCCTGCAAGAACAAAAACTTCAGTGTCCAGTCCTGTTGCAGAGAAGAAATTAATCTCTGCCGATGCTGAACTAACATCATCCAAGTCAATAAAACACCCATGCATGTTTATGTCTGCTCCCCGTTACCCCTCCCTAATGATCATTGCAGATGAGTTCAGCTCCCAGGGTTCAGACCGAGACTACCAAACAACTATGACAGAAGATAATGTGGACTCAGGCACTAAAGATGGTGTCTACTATGCTCATCCCTTAGCTTCAGCACCATCAGTAGGCAGGTGCAAGGCTCTCTATGATTATGAAGCCAACATGTATGATGAGCTCACCATCAGAACAGGTTAGTGGTTGAACTGTATAAAGTTATGATTAAGCTTTAGCTCAGTGTTGATACTGATGCACCTACTTATAATGTTCATTGTATAGTGTTCATTTTTTTATAAGTCTTTCAAAGTGATGAGCAAGGTTGATTTTGAGGCAGAGGTGTTGTGGATCAAATATTTATGGATCTAATGGTCAGTGCTGCTGAGAAAGTGTGGTGTACATGGGCTATTTGGAGCTGGAAGAAATTGTACACATGGATAAAGGTTAGGAGGAGGTTACTAAATGGAGTGAAGCATTTGTATGTAGGAGGTAGAGCTTGCAAATTATTATAATCAGAGGGAAATGCTATAACTGTAGAGATCATAGTGCCTGTGATATGGGAGGTAATAAAGTTTGATTCATGTAAGGGAAGGACAGCTCTAGTTCCTTGGATAAGGAGCTTTTCACCATAAGGGTGCACACTCCTGAAGGACCATTTATACCAATACTGTCTTGTGCTTCACATTCAGTGAGCACAGTACATTTAGAATACACTAATCTATTTTTCCATTTTTCTTAAATTCTTACTCCTGCAAGACTAATTTGGATGTCCTAGTCTGAGACCAGGCTGTAGGGGCTATGATCCTTGAAGCCATTAATAGGTTTACATTGCATCCTTAAGGATTGTATTTACCTTGATTCATTTAATTGAATTAATCTGATTTGGTGATATCTGGTATTTTGTTTTAACATCTGTAAAAATAATTGGTAAAAGTGTTTTGGAAGCATTGTGAAGAAACATTCTGTAAATTTTAAATTTAAACAAAAATAATTATTTGCATCTATACCTTATGAAGGAATTTTTTTCCAGGTGATATCATAAACATCCATGAGAAGCAGCCCGATGGTTGGTGGGTGGGAGAGCTGGAGAGTGTAGTCGGTATCTTCCCCGCCACTTATGTTGAGGAGATAGACTGATATCAGCCATGCCCGGAGTGCCCATCCCTTGTCACCAAGAATGTCCAGTGTCTCCATAAAACCCCTGCTTGGGAGGAGAGTTTTGCCTAATTTAGTATTATACTTTAATATGTCCCGGCGTTATGTCTACAGTATTTACTGATACAAAAGAAACCTGGCTGTATCAAAACCTCCAAAATTAAAAAATATTGGCACTTTTATTTATTAGCATAATATTCTTAAAACTAACATTAAAGATTTAAAAAAATGGAAAGCATTTATCAGATAATTATGTAAAAAAAATATAAACTATGTGTAAGTGATAAGTTTTTAGGAAGTCAGCAAGGCAGGTAATGAACATAACCCCGAATAACAGTGGCATATCAAGAGTGATGCTTTATTGAGCTCATGTGATTTTGCAATGTCAAAGTCATGTCTGATTAATCTGCATAGAAAAGCTGCACTCCGTGGCAATATACAAATTTCTGAAAAGAAATTGTGCAACTGCATTTTGAACATTAGCTGTTGAAATATAATAATAAATGTTCATACACAAATCTATACATGAATTTCACTAAAATGCATTTTGCTCATAAAGAAGGAACTTTAGAATGACTAAGTTATGCGGCTGTGCCTATTTGGACAGAATAGGTGAATGCATATACACAGTCTATAAATTGTTTTACTACTGTATTTAATTTTCCACATTTGAGTGCCATTGTGATAGAGTACATTGTGTAATTATTTTGAGTCTTACTGTGTGAAAGTTGTGTATATATATCATGTAAAGTCTTCCCAGTTTTCTATATATTTGGTACAGTATACTATTGCTTTGACACTTTATGAAGTCAATTGAACTCTAGAAAAAATCTAGATTTCTTAAGGGGTAGATGTATTAAATGGTAATGCGGTTTATAAATACTGTTATGTATATTAATCATTTTAAAATGCATTACTATTTAGTTCTAATTATGACAAATTAAAAGCAATTTTCTAAAAACTAGGATTCATTTTATATGAATTATAATTGCATAATTTTTGGGGGATGGGCTATTATAAAATTTGTAAATATCCACCCTTGCTTGTTTAGGGACATAACCTACAATGTAGTCATTAAAGACACTACCTCTTTTGAGGTGCTCTCTTAGCCTTCCTTGACTATCACATCTGATGATAAACTCATCCCCATCCCTCCCAAGCTTGTCACTGAATGTATGTGGTGAATGATTTACACTTATTAATATTAATTACTGTTTAGTGAAGGTATCTTTCTTTCCCCACATTTTGCAAGAATCTGATCTTTATAGAACTGTAAACTTGACATCCCTGATTTGACTAAGTTCAATTTTATATACTTATATATTTTGTGTACATTGCTGTATATGGCTGTAAGTTGAATCTAATGTATATAGTTTATAATTCACAATTTGTTTGATACACAGTTCTTTGTTCTCATAGTCTGTGTACTGTACTAGGAATCTATATTTGACATTAAAATGCAGTATTATTTCACCTATTTTGGTTCATTACCTAATGCATTATGATGTATGGTAATTTAATCTATAATATGGACTGAGATTATATAATCCTTGAAAGGAATTTTGAGAATCCAAATAAACAAAAATAAGATCTTGAAAACTGCTTAAATTTTGTAATACATTTATGCAAAATTTTATTTCTTACACAAGATGTAAATAACAAGCATAAGCACATGGTGGTCCTTTACATATAACTATACTGTACAAGTGCCATGCTTCTGGTCAGTAAATATCATTCAAACATGTGTTAGGGTGCAAAGATGTATTCCAATTTGTACTAGCACTAAATAGTGCAAATATATTCCTAAGAGTAATGATTTGCTATAACTTGAGCCTGTTACACTTCAGGGGATGTGCTAAGGGGCTCTTGATACAAGGAGCTGGACTTATCCTTCCCTTCTCCAGGCACTATATGATCCTTATGGGTTTAATACCAATTTAACCTTAATTCTGTTCACAATATTATGCTACAAACAAAAAATCTAAGGTATGGGTAAAGTCTTTGCAATAGCATGTGCTTGTTAGGTAAATGGACTTGATATAATTAATGTATCCCTATAAAACAAAATTAGGAAATCTTAATACAATGTTATCAGGGGACAACTGTGTGCATGTGTGCCTATGTGCTAGTGTTGGAAATAAATTTCTGCATGGAAACTAGTTTTAATATCCATGTATACAGTTTACTAATACAAATATCTTTCAACCAGACATCTTAAAATTAATGCTAAAGATTCTTAACTAAACATTTTTAGTACTACACACATTTTAAAAACTTGATTCCTTAAAAAATAAACCATCCATATGGATAACACTGTAGTACTGAAAGAAAAGGTAAGAACAATGTGGGACCAATAATTGAGAATGAAAAGAATATGGAAAATGTGTTGGTCACCGAGTGATTTGAGAAAGCTATCCTGTATTTGTAATGCAATTAACTATTTTTTAGATTTGAATCTAATCAGAAAAAACATTCACAAATTATCACATGGAACTAATATCCTAATTTCTTCAATAAAAATGGCAAATTAAGACATAGCCCGAAACAAATTCCAATCTGCTAATAAGCACCAGCTTTGAAACTAAACTAGCAGAGGCATTCTATTACCTCAATGGCACATTAAGTTTGAAGTTACTCTCTCAAAACCCTGTGACTATGCCTTTCATACCCTCAATTCCTATCATAACCAGTGTTATAAATGCTCATACTACTATCAAACACTCCTCATGACTTTTCATCCCTCATAAATCATTTGATAGCCCTCATAACCTAACCTCATCTCATAACCACCTCTCAAACTATCATAAACCCCCTTCCCTCAGACAAGCATTATCCTACCCACACACTATCACAATCCTTATCTCAACCTAATCAAACTCGCCCCCTTACATACCCTATCACAATTCCTATAACCCCACTCATAAGCCCTCTTATACCCCCTATGACATCCATTCATAACTCCTCTGTTATATGGCTCCATTTATAACCCCCCCTTTCATAACTTCGTAGCCCTATTATAACCCTCTAACCCCCTATCAATAACTAATAACTCCATCCTATAATCCCCTACCAAAGTCTCTTCTCATAACCCCACCAATGACTTATCATAACTCCCCTTCTAACCCCTATCAAAATATATCATACCTAGAGACAGGACAATAGCAAAATTTTTTGCCAATACTGATACTATGGCACACCCCTATTCACAACGCCTCTCTTAATGTTGTTATAGGGAGTAGAAGGAAATTATGAGAGGGGGGGGGACTATGATCACTACCCAGAGCCGGAAAAAAAATCCCCCCCAGTACCAACAATACCACCAGTCCGATAACATTCTTCTTTGCAAATATACAGGGTCTAAAGCCAGCAACAAACAACAAAATACCTTTCATCCGTGGACTGCTTGCAGAGGCAAAGGCAATGTTCGCGGCTTTCACTGAGACCCACATAAAGGATCACTTGGACAACGAAATATGGATCCCAGGTTACAACCTATACAGATGTGACAGAGTGAACAGGCAAAAGGGGGGGGTTGGCCTGTACATTGCAGAGTCACTTGTTTGCACAGAACTGCTTAATGCCTCAAATGATGTAGTGGAAGTTTTAGCAGTAAAGGTCGAGAACCAAAACCTAGTCATTGTGGTAGTCTACAAGCCTCCGGATGCAACATCCCAGCAATTCCAGGAACAGCTGTTAAAAATTGACCACTGTCTGGAAAATCTTCCAGCTCCTGCACCCAACATCTTGCTCCTGGGGGATTTCAACTTAAGGCACCTAAAATGGAGGAATATAGCAAATAATATTGTTGCAGTAATAACACCAGGAGGCAGCTCTGATGAAAACTCACACTCACACGAGCTTTTAATTTGCACAAAATTCAATTTAAACCAGCAAATAATAGAGCCTACTAGACTGGAGAATACACTAGACCTCATCTTCACTAACAATGATGATCTGATAAGAAATGTCACCATATCAAAAACAATATACTCAGATCACAACATAATTGAGGTTCAGACATGTATGCGTGGAGCCCCAGACCGACAAAATGAGACTAGTCACGAGGGAGCATTCACCAAATTCAACTTCAATAACAAAAACATAAAGTGGGACCAAGTAAACCAAGTCCTAACCGATATAAGCTGGGAAGATACACTAAGCAACACAGACCCCAACTTATGCCTAGAACAGATTAACTCGGTGGCACTCGATGTATGCACAAGGCTTATTCCTCTAAGAAAAAGGAGGAGTAGATGTAAAATAGAAAGAGACAGGCGCTCACCTTTACAGGCGACGGAAAAGAATAACAGCGGCTAAAAGAGGTCAATATATCTGAAATGCGTAGGGAGACACTGGTCAGAGAAATAGCAAGCATCGAACTTAAGCTAAAAGAATCCTTTAGGAGTCAGGAATCGCGGGAAGAACTAAAAGCCATAAATGAAATCGAAAGAAACCCAAAGTATTTCTTCTCCTATGCCAAATCAAAATCGAGAACAACGTCCAGTATTGGGCCCCTACTTAAACAAGATGGGTCCTACACAGATGACAGCAAGGAAATGAGTGAGCTACTCAAGTCCCAATATGACTCAGTTTTTAGCAAGCCGCTAACCAGACTGAGAGTCGAAGATCAAAATGAATTTTTTATGAGAGAGCCACAAAATTTGATTAACACAAGCCTATCCGATGTTATCCTGACGCCAAATGACTTCGAACAGGCGATAAATGACATGCCCATGCACTCTGCCCCAGGGCCAGACTCATGGAACTCTGTGTTCATCAAGAACTGCAAGAAGCCCCTATCACGAGCCTTTTCCATCCTATGGAGAGGGAGCATGGACACGGGGGTCGTCCTTCAGTTACTAAAAACAACAGACATAGCCCCACTCCACAAAGGGGGCAGTAAAGCAATAGCAAAGAACTACAGACCAATAGCACTAACATCCCATATCATAAAAATCTTTGAAAGGGTCCTAAGAAGCAAGATCACCACCCATCTAGAAAACCCATCAGTTACACAACCAGGGCAACATGGGTTTAGAACAGGTCGCTCCTGTCTGTCTCAACTATTGGATCACTACGACAAGGTCCTAAATGCACTAGAAGACAAAAAGAATGCAGATGTAATTATACAGACTTTGCAAAAGCCTTCGACAAGTGTGACCATGGCGTAATAGCGCACAAAATGCGTGCTAAAGGAATAACAGGAAAAGCCGGTCGATGGATCTATAATTTCCTCACTAACAGAACACAGAGAGTAGTCGTCAACAGAGTAAAGTCCGAGGCAGCTACGGTGAAAAGCTCTGTTCCACAAGGCACAGTACTAGCTCCCATCTTGTTCCTCATCCTCATATCCGACATAGACAAGGATGTCAGCCACAGCACCGTGTCTTCCTTTGCAGATGACACCCGAATCTGCATGACAGTGTCTTCCATTGCAGACACTGCAAGGCTCCAGGCGGACATGAACCAAATCTTTCAGTGGGCTGCGGAAAACAATATGAAGTTCAACGATGAGAAATTTCAATTACTCAGATATGGTATACATGAGGAAATTAAATCTTCATCAGAGTACAAAACAAATTCTGGCCACAAAATAGAGCGAAACGCCAACGTCAAGGACCTGGGAGTGATTATGTCGGAGGATCTCACCTTCAAGGACCATAACATTGTATCAATCGCATCTGCTAGAAAAATGACAGGATGGATAATGAGAACCTTCAAAACTAGGGAGGCCAAGCCCATGATGACACTCTTCAGGTCACTTGTTCTATCTAGGCTGGAATATTGCTGCACTCTAACAGCACTTTTCAAGGCAGGTGAAATTGCCGACCTAGAAAATGTACAGAGAACTTTCACGGCGCGCATAACGGAAATAAAACACCTCAATTACTGGGAGCGCTTGAGGTTTCTAAACCTGTATTCCCTGGAACGCAGGAGGGAGAGATACATGATTATATACACCTGGAAAATCCTAGAGGGACTAGTACCGAACTTGCACACGAAAATCACTCACTACGAAAGCAAAAGACTTGGCAGACGATGCACCATCCCCCCAATGAAAAGCAGGGGTGTCACTAGCACGTTAAGAGACCATACAATAAGTGTCAGGGGCCCGAGACTGTTCAACTGCCTCCCAGCACACATAAGGGGGATTACCAACAGACCCCTGGCAGTCTTCAAGCTGGCACTGGACAAGCACCTAAAGTCAGTTCCTGATCAGCCGGGCTGTGGCTCGTACGTTGGTTTGCGTGCAGCCAGCAGCAACAGCCTGGTTGATCAGGGGCTGATCCACCAGGAGGCCTGGTCACAGACCGGGCCGCGGGGGCGTTGACCCCCGAAACTCTCTCCAGGTAAACTTCAGGTAAACCACAATACTCATGGGCTCAGAAGAAAACAAGGTTTGCTGAAAACTCATTATAACCAACATAAATTATCACATTTACAAAAAGGTGCTAAACCCATACGGGTAACAACTAAAGTTGAATGAGGTGAATGGTGGGATTCCGAGTTAAAGCTCAGCATGACTTGTAATACAGACTGAGAACCTATGGCTATATATAACATGATAGCTATGCTGAAGCAGCAGCAAGAAATATAATCATGTTAACTGCTGTGACAATTATGGCAGCCTCTACCAAGTGTCCTGGATATTGTGATCTGTAAAAACATTCTATTCCATCAGGGCTATTTAGAGCCATTGTGTATACAGCAGCAGGAGGAGAGTCACCTGTTTCAAAAGAGTGCCAGTTCATAGGCAAGGATGAGGGACTAAGCATGGAAGAGGAAAATACCAGAGGCAATTTCAAACCATTAGGACATCACATGGTGATACAGAGAAGTTGAACACAGACACATGAATATAAGAGGGAGGTACAGTGGGGGGATGTTCGAAGAGTATGAATTCAGAGATTAAGAGGGACATCAATGTGGGCAATGATAAAGCTTTACTGATGTCAAGTGATAATTCAATCAATTGTCAGATCTGAAGGCCATGTGAGTGAATGCAAAGCAGACAATATCTTGATCATGCAAAGAGGAACACTTGACGTACAAGATATGTGCAACACCTGGATTTCTTTACTATGGTATGCTTCACTTGCACATTCATATTACATTTATTTAATGCACTAAATATGTATGGGTTATATAGCACCAT